ACGGGGAAAATATGGGCATATAACTATCAGGAGTCAGAGTCAATTCAAGTGAGTCTATCTTTTATCCATTCACTTTTAGAGGCATGGGCTACTGGGGAGAAGTAATTAGCCCAAATCAAGCAGTAATAGATACATACCTATGAGTTATATTAAGCTCTAAGGCAGTTTGTATGGTTTTGACTTTGAGGAAAAGTATATATTATATTTATTTAAGAAGCCATGCCATAGCATTGTGTATGAAGCCATAGAGGTGAGTAGACTTCTGGTCTGAGGCAAATATTCCCTCTACTATAATATTTTGATAAGATAATTCATGTTTCTTTGATTATACATCACATATCTTACTTTATTCAGGCCACTTTTGAATCCAGTCTTTTGCATCATTTAGTTCAATATTTGTACCTCATTTAGTGATTCAAGTTATCAAAGCAGTTCAGACCAAGAGTGGGCAATTAATTTCCCCAAGGGGCCAGATGAGAAACTGAGACTGTTGTTGCAGACCAGACAAATAGGCTTGTGAAGATGCATAGGCATGCACACATGCACATATGTAAATTGAAAAAAAGTAACTTTCAAAATAAAAGCAATGCAATTGTCCTGCATGCATGGTGGATACTTATTTACACTTGATTTCTAATTGCTGATTGACTTCACACGGGCCGGCAGGGAGAGCCTAAGGGCCAGATGTGGCCTTGTGGCTGTAAAATGCCAAGGTTTGATTTAGACTATCCTTTCTTTATCACATTTGATTAAAATTTCTTCCAATTAAGATTTAGCTTTATATTTCTTCATTTAAACCTTGTGGTTCTGTTCTGTAACTAACAGTTTTAATCAATTTAATTGGTAAATGGGATAATCCTCAATTCAGCATATCTGATATCAGGGTCACTGATGTTGATTGGTTACTAAACTGGGTATTGATTTTTTTCATCAGAGTTTATTAGCCTTTATCCCTTGGATTAAGAGTTTTGAGAAATAATGGCTTAGATGGATTTGGATCCCCATTAAGCCGTGATGATAGGGTTTATTTTGGTTATGGCTCAGCATTTTGTGTGAACCCAGACGTTATGATTTACTTAATAAATTGTGATTAAGCAACGATTTAGTGCAAATAATAAACCAGGCTGGTAATTCCTGTACCACTTGTACTCTCCCCTAAAAAAATATCCCTCTGCATATTTGAAACATTCTTTTGAATATTCCCATCCGTTTTATCTTAGTTTATCCTATCCTTAGAGGAAGCTGCTATCCAAATGGCAGAGAAGGCAAGCAGACAGACAGATAATGATGGTGCAGCACGTTTTTTAATGTAATCTCTGGACCATAATCTCTGGGCCAATTTATTGTCATTTACTTGGTTTTTGCTCGCCAGAAGGTGCTAACACATAATAGAGCTAATTTCAGACCTATTGCTCTCCAACAGACAATTTCACACTGTAAAAGGGAGAATAGCCCTCTCAAAAAGGAACATTCTGGTAGCCAATTATAATGACCCTTCAAAACTGTACAATTGCTAATGTTTGTCCACTTGCACTTTAGATAGAAAGCAGGCTCAAGGTTTGTAAATAGGGTAGCTGCTTCTTTGGTTTTTGTGGATGAGCCTCATTTTATTTTAAAAATGATTTGAAAAGCGCTTGGAAATCACTACTTGGAGAAGTAAAGCAAATGTATCTAAATTGGTTAAGAGCTTCAGAGGGGGCCAATTTGTTGGATGGTGAAAACAGCAAATTCTCGGACTTTTCTCCTAGCAATCAGGACTGAAAACAGATATTCTAAAAATAGGTTTTTCAGACTTATTATTTGTAATATTTATTTGAATGATACAGCATAATAATTCTAGCTATATATAGGCCATCGAAGGTAGCAACACTGGGTTTTTTTTCACATTTTCTCATGCTTGTTCAATGTAAAAGGTACATTGAGAGGAGAAATGAATTACATTGCTTATTCTAATATTTATTGAAGTGAAATTTCAAACCAAACCTCTTGAAAACAAACTTAAAACCCATAACATAAACATTAAAAAGAGAGCAATAATAAATAAGGAAACCTGATGATATGCTCTGAAAATAGTATGTCCCTTTGAATGACCATCTTCCAAGATATAAACAAGAGAGATGAGGGGAGTCACTCTCCTTAGGGCTCACAGGTACAGAAAATTTGGGTCCCTTCTTCATTTGTTGCTTCCTTATACTTGCAACGAAATTGATCACACTAGTGGGGCCCCAAGGGCAAAGGAAACAAAAAGAAGTGAATGAAGTAATGAATGAATGTGGAATGACCTTGCTATAGTGGAATACCTGAAAGCAACAAGAGAAAGAACTGGACTGTACAGTGGAACTAAAGTGATTGGATAAACCGGTAGCTATACTACTTGCTGCTTGACCACTCTCTCTGTTTTACTGAGCTGCTTGTGAAAGTTCAGGTGCTAGAGAGAAACAGCTTCTACATGTGACTTTCCTCCTCTCTTTCTATGATCTGCAACTGGGGAAGTTCATTGAGGAGGCCTATTGCTTTGGAGCCCCTACAGTTTTACTTATACCAGCGATGGTTAAACTTTTTGGTGCCGAGTGCCCAAAGTGCGCACACGCGAATGCACACATGCATGCCTGAACCCCCAAAATGCAATGTAAGCGCCCCCTGCGCATGCGCCCACCCCTCCCATGCATGCGCCACACCCCCCGTGCCCTGTTTTGGCTTCCAGGTTGATGCAGGAGGCTTTTCAGGCCCAAAACAGGGCATGGGTGTGTGTGTGTGCACGCAGCCCACAAAATCAAATGTGAGCATCCCCCCATGAATGCACGGCAGAGACCCAAAAATCAGCTCGCCGGCGGGAGACATGGTGGGGCTGGGCTGGGGCGACGGCTGGCGTGCCAGCAGAGAGGGCTCTGCGTGCCACCTGTGCCACAGGTTTGCCATCATGGATTTATACTGTGGAGAGGACCTAGAGGTATGCAGTAAATGTAAAAGAAAATTTTAAAAAACATACATGCAATCTTATCTTGGTTTCTTTGTATATGGATAATTTAATATTGTGCACTAATTTTTCAGAAAAAAGGTTCCATACTTCTTATATCCAATTCCACCAGGAGAGACTTGTTACCATTTTCTAAAAGATTTCAGTATTGCATGTTTGATCGATGTCATGTAGTAAAATGTAATACAAGTAATAGAAACTCCAGGCTAATTTTTATTGGGAAAAAGATAATTGTTCCATTTTCTATTCCTTTAGGTGCAGTTTTTGTTAACATTGGTCACCACGATGCCAGGAACTGGTGAGGGAGAGTCTTAATTTTGTTGACTCATCTAGTATTTGATACTACTGGCCATTCCATTGAAATATTTGATCAACATGGAACTCAGGGATATTGTTTTGCTGTAGTTTGATTTTATCTATTCTCTTACAATTATAACTCAGCATCTTGGCTATAATCTGTGGAATTTTATTTACTATTATATGAGGAACATCTCAACAAAAGAATAATCAGGGAGGCCATCGAAATTGAAAAGAGGCCGCAGAATATGAACAGACGAGATAACGCCTCTAGGTTATCAAGTATTTGGGGACCTGCACTGAGAGAAACTCGAGTGTTAACATCAGAAGAGAGGCAGAGATTCCAACAAGCAACCAGTGGTGTTGTAAGGCCTGCCAGAATTCTTCCCTCTTTGCAGAGGGTGGCTAGCAATAGGGAGAGAGAGAGGATTGAGCCAGAAGATAGGCTGAGATCTCAACTAACTATCAAGGGTGCTGGGATGCCTACCAAAATCCTTTGCCCTCTACAGCAGACAGATAATAATAGAGAACGTGAGAAAGCTAGGCCTGTAACACGTAGCCAAACAGCCAGGATGAGGAAGCAGGAAGAAAAACTGCTGTCCTCCAATCAGGACACAGAGTTACAGGCTAACCAGCATACGTCAGCAGCAGCAAACATAGAAAAGCGACAGCTCTGACCTCGCAACACACCCATAGCTTCTAAACTAAACAAGAGCCTGAAGATGACAGGGTTGACAGCCTGTCAAAACGTTGCTAGAAAGAAAAAACTTTTAAGGTACTGGTAGGATTTTAGCTAAGGCTTTAAAGGACCTTGCAGAGTGCTCTGTAAGGATTTTTGGAAGATTTTAAGCTAGGATTTTAACCAGAATTTTAAACATTTTAACTAACTTATTTAACATGACACAGGAAAACACCCGAGATTTTAATTTTTTGCATATATATATATTACAAACACTATTTTAAAAAGTAGGCAATTTATATGAAGAATTAATCTGCAATTAAAAACACCATAGGTTTTCTTTAATTTCTTTATTGATGATATGAGACACAAGAAACGTGCCATTTTGTATTGGAGTATTCAAGCAACCTAAAGCAAAGCACTTGCTCCTAACACCAGTATTACTGCTGGAATTCAGTATAAAATAGACACAGATTTCTAAAAAGAACTGTTTCTTTGTATTATTACCGATTCTGAACGTAAAAGCGGAAAGAGGCTGCGCTAACTCTTTTCATCCGCCAGGGGTAGCTGAGAGGGAACGACATCAGCACTGCGGCAAAATGGACAGCTCCATCAGCATTTCTTCTAGTCTAGCCGTGTTAAAATTAACTGGGAATGCGTGCCGCAAGAGTAGGGCGTGAAAGCAGGGCCATAAACATGAAATAGTTCGGTCTTCCACCCATTCTTTTTACTAACTGTGCAACCAGCTGTCTTTCATTCTCCAGCTGTCGCTTTCCGTTTCTGCCTTCTTGGATTTTATTTAATGGAACCCTAAACACCAATTAGGTGGCTCTCGTTTATTCTGATGAGACTCTTGAGAACCTCTCGGCCTCCGACCTGGCCTAACACTGTTTAATCCTCACACTTATCAGGCTCTGTGTCCTGAAGACACACACATCAACCACCACCTTAAGTCAACAATCCAATGAGGACTACATTCTTTTAAGTGTCTCCTGTCAGCTTCTCCCTTCCAAAGCTGGCCAAACTGTAGGATCCCTGAAGTTTGCAGTGAAAGAAAACGTGTTTAGGATCGAGATTGTCATTGACGCCCAAAATCCTGGCGCCACCCCATTATCGTCCCCTCCCATTCCTCCCAAACCAATCTCCTTCATTTGGCCGCGCCCTAGAAGCGCACGTCCCCCGCCTTTCTGCAGCGGAACCGGCGATCCGCCTCTCTATATAAGACCGGGGCGTCGCGTGTAGCCCTCCACAACCTCCAGGATGAATTTCTCTTCGGATTCCCACTATTTGGCCTCTTCCTACAGGAAGATATTCGGGGAGCCGCCCCGCTACTCCTCCCGTCTTGGCAGTTCGGCCACAGCCAGCAGTTACCGGTCTCAGTCGGTATCCCGCTGTAGCAACCGCGCCGTCTCGTATCGCTTGGCGCAGGCAGACAACTTGGATCTCAGCCAGGCAACGGCGCTGAATGACGAATTTCGGCTGACCCGCACCAATGAGAAGGAGCAGCTGCAGGGACTCAACGACCGCTTCGCCGGCTACATCGAGAAAGTGAGGCAGCTGGAGCAGCACAATCGCCTCCTGGAGACCGAGCTGAGCGCACTGCGGCAGCGTCACGCCGAACCCAGCGGCCTGGCCGAGCTCTTCCAAAACGAGCTCCGCGAGTTGAGGGCCCAACTGGACGAGACGGAGGCCGCCCGGGCACAGGGGGCGCTCGAAAGGGAGCGGCTGGCCGAGGAAGTGCAGCTCTTACGGGCGCACTGCGAGGAGGAGGCGCGAGCCAAGGCGGAGGCTGAGCAGGCGTTGCGCGCGCAGCAGCGGGAGGTGGATGGCGCCACCTTGGCGCGCATGGCTCTGGAGAAGAAGGTGGAGGGGCTGCTCGACGAGCTGGCCTTCCTGCGCAAGGTCCACGCCGAGGAGGTGGCCGAGCTGAGCGTCTCCTTGCAGCCAACCCAGCTGGCTGCCATCGAGCCGGACGCCACCAAGGCCGATCTGACTGCGGCGCTGAAGGAGCTACGCTCGCAGTACGAAGCGTTGGCCGCCAAGAACCTGCAGGCGGCCGACGAGTGGTACCGCGCCAAGTTCGCCAACCTCAGCGAGCAGGCGGCGCGCAACAACGAGGCCATCCGAGCCAGCCGCGAGGAGATCGGCGAGTACCGCCGCCAGCTGCAAGCCCGCACTTTAGAGGTGGAGAGCCTGCGCGGAGCCAACGAATCCCTGGAGCGGCAGCTAAATGAGATGGAGGAGCGGCATAACGCCGAAGCGCTCGGCTTGCAGGTGAGGACCGCCCGCGCGAGCTCTACTACTTCTTGCCTCCCAAAGTGTCCCGTGGTGATGTCGTGCTGCCCCTAGCGCAGATTTGGGCCAGCTACGTTTTTCAAGCCTCCCACTCCCCTACTGCGATTACCGCATTTTTGTCTTCCAAATACCCTCAGCAGGTAAAAATCCAACGTTCAGCAGAACGGTTATTAAATTTACAGCAGGCAGTCTGCTATTAAGCTGGGTCGCTTTTACCTTTCCTAATGCCTGTCAGATGCTTTGCGTTATGCCTTCCCTTATCCATTATCATTGGCCGTTCTAGCTGGCTTAATGATTGTTGTAAACAATCAGTGTTCAGTGACAAAACCACAGGAAGGGTTGCACCGGGATGTCTTGTCTGCTGTGAGCATCTCATTCCTTTGACGTTTCTTAACGTTCACGCTGCTCTCCGTGGTGCTGAATATAGCCAACAATTGGTTGACTGCACCTCTAGAATTGTGCTTGTGTTTACCAGCAGGAATGAAACGTTTTGCTTTTTAGCGATCCTACTCAAAACTACTGCAAATCAGCCATTGATTTTCCAGAATGCTTTTTTCATGATCTCTCTGTAATAGACATATTACTTAACTAATCCTAGGCTAATTCTTCAGGGTTGATAATTTGTGCTTAGATTTTTACTATATATAAATTAAACATGCTATACAGTAAGTTACTATGAAACTAATAAAACTCTAACCCTAATAAAATTATAAAGATGGTAAACAGTAAACAGTAAAATAGGGGTAATAAAAGACAATTGAAATAAAATGTGTTGTTACATTCAGGAGTGCTCATTTAGCACAGAAAGGTGTCTCACTGGACATCTGTGAGAAAATATTCCAATCTCAAATCCATTCCTTCTGTACATTTACTATGCTTTCAATACTGCAGAAACATGTTTAATACAATCATTGTTTTACATGGAATGGGGTTCCACATGAGAAATTGCCTTACAAAATGATTTGAAATGTAGATACTATAATTGACAGGGTTTTTGAATTAGCATTGTTTACAAACAGCACTTAAGTGTTATGCTAATATAGAACTGATGGACAATCGTATTGAAAATTAAGAAATTGCACGTCCACCCATTTTTAAAAAATACGTTACAGTAGATGATTTCTTCAGATTAATTCGAACTGTCATTAGGTACTTTCTAAATTATATTGTTTCCTTCTGGATATCAGAAAGCATTCATTTTAGATTATACTTTATTACATAAATATATTAGTCATGAAGGCAATACAGATAGTCCTCGACTTACAATAGTTAATTTAGTGACCATTCAAAGTTACAACAGCACTGAAAAAAGTGACTTATGGCCGTTTTTCAGTTAAAACTTTGCACCACCCCCATGGTCACATGATCAAAATTGCTTGACAACTGGCTCATATATATGACGATAGCAGTGTCCCAAGGTCACTTGTTCCCATTTTGTGACCTTCTGACCAGCAAAGTCAATGGGGAAACCGGATTCAATTAACAGCTAGGTTACTAATTTAAGAACTACAGTGATTCACTTAACAACTATGGTGAGAAAGGTCATAAAATGGGACAAAACTCACTTAACAAATGTCTCACTTAACAACAGATATTTTGGGTTGAAAATATCAGTTGTCGAGGACTACCTGTATAGCAATAAATCACAGAGGTCAATTTGTCATCTTAACTGTTCGAGAAATGTAAAATGTAGAATGGCAATAAAAAAATTACTTTTAGCACAGGAGGAAAAACAATACTACTAAAATCTATAATAGGATCAGTGGATTTTCATATGTTCATAAACAATCTGAATACAAGTAAACTGAAAAGTGGTCAGCTTTATTGATTATTTTGAAATAACAATAAAAAACCTACATAAAACATTTTGAAGAATATTTCAAAATGGGGCATAAGAATTAAATTGGCAAATGCATTGGAATATGTAATTTCACATATAGTACTTTACATTGGCAAAAATGAACAAATGGATTTGTGATAATTAGCTCAATGAGAACAATGTGCCTCTGCTATAAAAAAGAAAAATCCGAAGCTATCAATTAGAGAACAAAAATAAATCTGCAATATTGTACTGCTCTTACACTATTTTGCATTGTGATTATACTTAAAATATGATGCATATTGTTTAGTTCACCATACCCCAAAAGGATATAACTATAAAGAATGTAAAAAAGAGGGAAACCAAAATTATCAAGCAGATGGAACAACCTTCTGCCTTAAACAACGAAGTTTAAAATAATTGCTCCTATGTAGTTTAGGAATAAAATATACATTATAGTTTATAATGTTATGCATACTACTGAATGCTAATGTAAAGTGCATTTCTTGAGTGCTTTTTCCTTTACTGTTCATAGTAAAGGAAAAATCTTAAAAATATCTATCACTAACAAGGTTGATCCTAAACTGTCCACCACTTTGATAGCTTCATTATCAATCCTAAGGCTGCTCATTGTATGTGATGTTATTAGTTTGGTATTTTTATATTTAATTTAGCTTTTTTTCACAGTGCCCACAATTTCACTTGCAGATCCCTGCATTTTAGCTAGCAGAGTTATGTGATCAACATAGCACAGATTATGGCTGTTTCTTGCTCCAATTTTCCACTTTTATTTTTTATTTAATCCAGCTTCTTTTAATGCACATTAAGCATACACTGTACTTTGAATCACAGAGTATATAAACTTGTCACACTCCTTTGCCAACCTGGAGTCAACCTGTTTCATCGTATTCCATCTGTACTAAACCTTCCAAATCTGAGAGGGAGGGAGGGAGGGGGGGTGCATCCTCCAGTGTCATTCAGTGTTTTTTATAGCAAATCTATCTAGTGAGATTTCAGTGTGGTGGTCATTGTTACTAGAATGGCCTTAAAAGATCCATGAAAATATTTTGTAAGATCAAGTATTAATTATAAAGATACGGTAATGCAAATTTATATATTTTTATAGTGGTGAATTAAACATGCATGACATTTTTACATACATTCATGTACAATATTGCTAACTCCAATGACAGTTCATTATGTTTTCTTTCTTGGTTTCAAGCCTGAATATAAATTTTGTTTATATTTGATATATAAGCATGTGTGTAGAGAGATAATCCTGAAAATTGCCAATAACCTTTTGCTCATTCTATGTATATGTGTGAGATTGTGCATGCCATCAAATGATGTTAATATACATCCACAGTCTCAATTTCCCATCAGTTCAGGACTTACAGAATAGAGGTTTTCGATTTTGCCTAATGTATATAAACCTGTAACTTGCCTGCTTATTTTTTCTCAATAAAACATAATTTCAAAAGTATTAAACAAAAAGTGAAATAATTTCATCAAATAAAAACAATCACATCACAAATCATTAAACACTATTTCATATGTTTTATATCAGAACTCAACTAGAAACATCATGAATTCATCAAATTTATTACTCTTTACTATTTATTCTAGTCTTTAAAAACATTACCAAATGAAATAAATACAATGTATGACCATTGCCTATTGAGCTGCCATAATCTATTTTTATTTAATCTTATTCTAATAAAACAATTGGAATGTTCCTATTAGCCCAATCAATATAGTTAGTAATTAGCAGTTCTGGGAGTTTTATTCAGAAACTCTGAAAAATCCTGGTGCTTATCATTGGTTTAAAAAAAATAAAGTGGCATTTCTATCATAATAAATGTATAGGTATATCTATTTTATACCTATTTCATTTGCTCAGTATTGAAGGCTATATCTCTATAATTTTAAAGTGCTTGACACAAAAAAGATTCTAATTGTTAATTTTACTGTTGTAATTTAATTCATTTTCCAATTGTTTGTTGTCTGCAACAAATTAGCAAAACTTCATTTTTTCTTGCTTCTGTTAAAAAGGAATTAAACTATTTAGCAGAGACTTTGGCCTTAAAATGTTAATGTTGAACTCTCTGAATTTACAGGATACCATTAGCCAGTTGGAAAGCGATTTGAGAGACACAAAGAGTGAAATGGCTCGGCATCTGAGAGAATACCAAGATTTACTGAATGTCAAAATGGCCTTGGATATAGAGATAGCAGCATACAGGTAACCAGGTTTTGATTCTCAATATCAATTTAGAATTGTAATGCTATTTTGAAAATCTCCAAAATAGGTGATCGAATTTATGTTGCCCTAATAACTTGGTGAGAAATGGCTTGATCCTATTTATTTCAATGCTTTGCCATAATTTTGCATTTACGGTCAGGGAATGTGATTGTTTTGTTAAGGGTAATTTCTTTTTATCAATAAGACATATATTGTTTACCTTGTCTATGTATATAAGTGTGCCTGAAAATCCTCGATTTCCATTATTAATAAAATCTTTTGTTGTATTTGCAGGAAGCTGTTGGAGGGTGAGGAGACACGTTTTAGTACTTCAAGCATGAACATCTCATCTCTGAATCCCCTTTCCAATCCTACTTACTCTTTCCAACCCAGGCTCTATAGTTCATCTGTAGCCAGCAGCTCCAAAATGTCATCCTCTTTCTATTTTAAGAAAGATGAGAAAGAGGAAGCTAAATTAACCTCAAAAATTTCATCAAGCCAGGTAGGAGACCCCTTTGCTGAAATGATAGAGGAAACCATAGCAGCTACTAAAAAACCTGAAAGAACAAACTTGGAAGAAGGAAACACTGTCAATCAAAAAATGTAATCACTGACCTTAAATACAGATACATGCAAGGCATAATAATATAGCGTAAGTCTTTAAATTGCCTATACCTGAATTAAGGTACCCAACTCACATCCATTTAACTTTCTAATGTTTCACAGTAAATTATTTCAATAGGAGTATTATGTTCAATACTATCAGAAATACAGAGGCTCAAAGATCAATTTAGAAATACTGTAGTAAATCTTGTTTGCCAATTGCATTGCTGTAAGGCAGACATGTCTCCCAATTGCTGAATTAAAGAGAAAATAAGCATGTGCTAACACACACACACACACACACACACACACACACACTTGTACTCTTATTAAATCATGTTTCTGATTTATTTCTGCTGAGCACAACTTTCAAGTTGGGAAAAATCTAGCAACTAAATCACATTAGTGAAATGAAGATTAATCCTTATTGTCTGCCTCATAAAATAAAGAAACTGACAGATAATTCAATTATGTAATTTCCAGATAATGAACTTTATTCCATTTTAGTCCTTCTGGACCACAGAGATGTAAAAAATACAAATATTTATTTTACTTTGTGGTCTATGCACGTTACAAAGAAATACAAAATTATCTAGGAATGTTAGGTAGAAAATATGAACAAGGTTTAGGAAAATGAACACCCCATGATAAACTTGCTGTATCACTGCATAAAGAAATCCTATTAGCACATTGTCAAGAGACACATAATACATTTTTTGATATCTAAAGTTACTCACAATATGCCCATCTTAAAAAAAATCTACATGCTGTAGACAAGGGGTGTCAAACTCATTGTCATATGATGTATCACGACCTTTTCCCCCTTCGCTAAAATGAGGGGGGGTGGCCAGTGCATGACACATCTGGCCTACAGGCCATGAGTTTGACACCCCTGCTGTAGTCAAATAATTAGGAGTCTTAGGATCCTGGTTAACTGTTAGTTGAATGCACGTTTTTGACCATCTCTGTGATTATCTAAAAAGTCACTGCACTGTCCATTTTACCTTGTGCCATATTAGTAGCCAGCAATTTTAAAAGTTGTTGTTGCTTAGAATTAATAGTGCCAGCTATTAAAAAATGAAAAGAAACACATGTTTTAGAGGTTAGCTTTATATAAAACAAAGCTAAAAGAATGTTTTCCTGTATTGTCTAGAAGCACAGTACTAATGCTGATTCAAAAGTAGTGATTGCTACTGCTTCTATAAGGCACAATCTGCAACCTAAAACAGGGATGTATGTGTTGGTTCATAATTAGAAAATGAATGTAGATTTATGCCAGCTGCTTATTTCTGTATTATGGAAAACAATATGGCTTCTATGTAAGTTATTGAGATATGGTTTCTTAAATAAGAGAGGGACTTTTCCTAAATGTATTTTCTTACACACATTCATTATTGCACAAATAAAATGCACTAGTGAATTTTAGTGGTTCTTCTAATTTTGCTCTGATTGGTTAAGGTGAATGTAATTGTTCAGCCTTGCCAATCACAACTGAAAATCATATACATGAGCAACACACACAAAAACAATTGATTTTTTTAAAAATAAACAAATGGTGCTGAAATCTGATAAAATAAAAATTCTTACATTTCCAACAAGTAGCAGATTCAGCCCATGTTTCTGCAGCAAATGACACAAGAATAATCTTGGTTGGAAGAGATCAACATAAAATTTCCTTTAATAATTTGGGAATTCTGATAAATCAGATTCCCAAGTCCTATCAGAATTTAACTTCACTATGTATCTCTGTCTGAACATGTGCCAACTTTTATATAGAACACACTATTTTAGATTTTATTTGAATGCCTTAAAGATTGCCAGCAACTAAATTGCTTTCTGCAGAAATTCAAGACTGTATTATTCGATGTCTTTGCACTGATTCATCCTGTCACAAAGTTTCATAATACAAATCCATGTCCTATCTTGTGTCCCTTGAACTAATACACTTTTCTTCTCTGTAAGGCACAAATTAATAATAAAAAAAATGTTGTACCACTTTAGGCAGCCTGTTTGTCATTTGTGCTATTGTGAATCTAAACTTTGGTATTAAGAATTAATAGTTACATTACAGCCAATAAATATCTAAGTTTATCTGTGTGGAAAAAACCAATGATTAAAAGTGAACGAATGAAACCACAAAATGCTTTCAGTTATAACTATGTGTAATATTTTCACATTCCACACGAATGCTTTCATAATGACTCTGTAAGATGAATTTATGTATTTATATATGTATGTATTTAACCTTACAATTGGAAGATGAATGCTACAGAATAGGAGGGGGGACAGAATGAACTATGGCCATCATTATTTTGATCTTGGAAGAAACTTTCCAAAATGTTTGTTTAAGAATATGCAAAGCACAGATATGAGAGGATTCCAGGTAATTCTTGTGATAATATATTGGGATTGTCTCAAGCTTATGGAATAACTAGAGGGAAAAATTAATGTGAAATGTGGTATGTCTTAAAATTGATATCAACATGATCCTCTACATGTGTTACAATTGTGATAATAGTACATATTATTATAATGTGCTTCAACATTGTGATAAATTCCAAATGTTGCGTAACCAAGATGTAATAAAATATTATATATTTACTTGATAAGGCAAAATTTGGAATGGTGCTTTGGGGAGGTATTTTTTCATGCAGAATTAATATATAGATGAAGAAAAAAGAAACAAAAGAGAACAACACAAACACTGAACATATGACTTACAGATTTAGTGAACTTCTATATGCTTTGCAATCGAATTAACTGGAATACAAGAAAAATATTTTTCATATTCCATCGTGGAGCTTCATTTTTTTTAATGAATCAAGTAGGGCATTTCCAATATTTATTCAAATATCAGTTTGGAATGCCGACTCCTCTTCAAAAGAGAAATAATAGAGCCTTCCAAAATACTGTGTGATGTAATATATATGCAATATACCGGTACATGCAAATTCTGAAAACTCCTCTCTTGATAATCTAAACTGCACCAGCAGACAGACTTGATCATTGTTGTTCTTATGTATCCCATCCCAATAATCTATTAATGTCGAATATGAAAAACATTTTGGCTTAGACTGATTACTGAAAGTGCTCCATGTATAAAGAAAGAAAAAGTCCTGAAGGATTAAAGGTCTCTCTATAAAGCCCAAATACAGATTTTGGAAAGATTGCTTTCTTGCAATTCTGAGCAACATATTCTCTATTCTGGAGATACAGAAAAGGCTAACAGAAACCCATCTATATCAGTGGTAAGCACCTCTTACTCAGTGAATTCTTAAAGTTTACCATATGCAATATAAAGGCAAGCCTCTTGTTTTCTGAAGCTACTCTTAATTAGCTATAGCTAACTGCATGGTCATGAACACTAGCTTTACCAGAAAAAAAGTGCTTCAATTGTTTTCTTCATATGACTTCCCTCTGAAATGCCTCGCTTTCTTTAAATGAAATATCCATACAATGCAGTTTTCTGTTCAGAATTGATGTATCAACTCTTGCTTTTTATAGTTAACATTTTCTGTATAAATTTCAGCTCTATAAATAATACATGCAGAAACTCAAACTGAATTTGATAATGACCAGAACTTGGCCACTATACTGCTCAACCAAAGCTTGAACGTTTGTGGGTACATTACATATCAGTAATAAATATGTTGATTATTAGAAAAAAGCACTCCATACTTCTCTCCATGAACTTAATGCTTCATTTGTGACAATCCTCTGTGACAATAACAATCTTTGCCACAAAGTAAACAAAGTAGCATATTGAAAACTTACATTAACTTTCTGACTCTGTGCCTACTTAGATATTCAAATATATCTAATGCAGCATCCCTAGTTGGCACTCCAGAAAAATTTCTCCTTGGCAATGCAGATTTCTCACTACGAAAGTTATGCTACTTTTTCTGACAGTTTTCTGTCTGTTTTTCTGCATTAATTCCAATTGTGTGCTTTTAACAAATTTTGTAATATTGATATTTTTACAAACTGAGGTAGCATGAACTAATTTATTTACTCAATCAACTTAAAAAAAGTAACAAACACCATATTATTTCACTCTTTAAGAATTTGAGTTCTTGTATGGGGGAAGCAAAAAAATTAATATTTGTATTTCACCCATTTGTCCCAGCAAGCTTATGTTGCTGCAACTGGAATTAGTTTTTAATTTTAAAAAATCCAGTCAAAATCATTAACAATTTCTCACTGCTCTTCAATAATCCTGCCATATCCTTCTTGTGCTGAGTGCTTCTATGGCTTTTTTTCTTATATCTGATGTATTTCATTTTTTATCATTTTAATATATTAGCTGTAAACTAATCAAATTCATATTTTAATAAGACCAATTCTGGCTCTGTTATTTTATTGCTACCATTCAGCCAGCTCATAATTTATTATTTAAGTGCACATTTATTACCTGGGGAACAAGTTTACTGTTTTAAACATTTGGAAAGCATATGGTCCATTTATTTTTCCACTGACCTTGGGGGTATAAACAACAGTGGAACACCTGTTCCAATGCAGCCCAATTCATTGTCTCATCTACTTTTACATTTACATTGCTATTCAACAAGTGATGATCTATAGGCAACATAGCTTTATTTCCTTTCCTGTTGTAGTATTTGGTAGTATTATATATTTCAATATTTTTCATATAAGGCATGAGATAGAAATGCTTGCAATTTGTAAAGGGTGATTAGCTCCATTTTATTTCTAGGGAAAAATCTAAAAGTCATTTTATTTCTCAACTGACTAAAATAAAATTCAAATGCCCCTATGAATAATGCATGTTTCTCCCAATAAGACATTGTGGTCAAAGAGATCATCCCTGAGAACTGTACTGCAAATATACTTAAAGACTTTTGGATAAATTGTAGTCTCAAATACAACACTGCCCATGGATTAGTCATGAATGCCGCAAGACCTACATATTTAGAATGAATTCTGTTATGTTGATATGCTTCTTCCCTGAGCTAGGCGCTGATGATACAAGAGCACTGAAGTATTTATAGCTTACTTACTGGTACAATTGTTTGTTTTTCTCACTGCTTTAAATCACTTCCTTAATTATTATGCAGAGCAAACACAGTGCATTTCTTTAGATTCATTTAAATAAAATGCTTTTTTTTTTTGCTGCAGTTCTCCCATGAAGTTTTGTTCTTTCAAACATCTTCTGAAAATTTAAGAGATTTTTGAAAATGTGGAATCTCCACTAAGAATCAGTCCATAATGAAGTATAAGTAACCCATCCTGGAAAGAAAAAGAGAAATTGTATGAATCAAAAATCCAATGAAATCAGCAAACTAAAAAAGGCAATGACTTATACAGACAAGTTTTCTTATTGTGCATTAGGTACAAGAGACAGTTTTATATAATCGTTAAGGTACTACGCTAGAAACCTGGCAACTATGAATTCTAGTCCTACCTTAGGCCCAAAGTCAGTTGGGTGACCTTAGGCTAGTCACACTCTCAGCCTTGGGAAGGAGGCAATGGCAAAGCATTCCCCACAATCTTGCCAACAAAACTGCAAGGACTGGTCTAGGCAGTTGCCAGAAATCAACACTGATTTGGAGGTGTACATGCACACATTCACATACACACACACATTAGGTATTGGTATTGAAACAAAATAGCTTTGGGTTAATAATTTTCTAGAGAAACAGCAAAAAACACACATCTGAATCTAAATACCATATTTCTCCACAAGCACAGTGACAAAATATCTAAAAAAGACATATTGTTTCAGTTATCTATTTGTGCCTTAAAAATGTAATTCCTCGTTAAGAAGAAAAGAAGAGCTATTACCAACTTTGGATTTCATCTTTTTACTTAACTTTCCATCTTCCTAGCCTTGTAGACTCTTCAAGGAGTTTGAAGGCAAATTTGAAGACAATTATGTTCATTGTGACTCTCAAATGGCTGGGCTAAGCATTTTAAGCATTAACACCAAATATGTCATGCTAACTATTTATGTATATGGATCCCTTTTGAAAAAAGTACTTCATTATGAATAAGCTTCCATTTTTACTTTCTAGAACAAATTTTTAAGAAAACACACTTACAGAAAACAATTTCCTGAAAAAGTAACGTAAAATAACATCATTTTGAGCATTGCCTTGGAAGTTTATTTAGATTTGGTTCACATCAGGCCAGTGAGTCATGTAAAGAAATATACACCATTTAATGCTTATGAATCCGTATCTATTTAAGATTGAAAAATAAGTAAAATATCTGGATATCACTATGACAAATATATATGCTATTTCAAAAAAACTATGTTAAGACACAAAATGACATTAAAGAAGATATTTAGGATGGAAAAACTGTGAATTGTTACTGATGGGGAGAATTTCTGTGATAAAAATAGATCATATTTTTATAATGATGGTTTTGTTTCAGAAAATCCACAGTTTTGATAGATAATGCACCATTTAAATCAGGGGTGTCAAACTCGATTTCATTGAAGGCCGCATCAGGATTGTAGTTGACCTTGGGGGCCAGGGTGGGTGTGGCCAGTTTCCCTGCCTCCCACTTTTTCATTCCCATCTCCCCCTCTTTCACCTCCCTTCCTTCCATTTTGGCTATAATATACAGATGGAACAATGGGAAAATATATGACTGAAAAGATTGAAATTTATATTGTTATAATCTTAAAGATAATTTTTATAAAATAATGTACCACTGGAATATACCAGCAGAGAAATTGTCTAGAATGTATAAAGGTAGTTCAAATATATGTGAACAAAAAGATGTTTTATCATGCTTGATGCATGCATAAAAAAGCCAAAAAATAGATTCAGTGGATTTTAAAGATGAATATACAATTAAAAACTAAGGTACTCTCTTTTGCAATTGATGGACAGTGATGGAACTTTGTTTTTGTATATGATATGTTTTTGTATATGATTGGAGGAATATGATTGTATAGCGTGGAGGTCAGAAAAGAAAGGGGGACATGATTGAAATGTTTAAATATATTAAGGATGTGAATATGGTTTTAAAGACAGTATTTTCAATATTAAGCAAAAATAAAGAACTTAGGGGCATAACTTCAAACTGATAGGAAGGTAGTTCAAAAGTAATGTTAGAAAGTATTACTTCACAGAAAGAATAGCGGAAGCTAGGAACCAACTTCCAGCTGGGGTAGTGGGTCAATCATCAGTAACTGAATTTAAAAATTTGAATAAACACATATCCATCATCCGCTAAAAATAATAAATAATAAATGAAAAAGACAAAAACAAACAAACAAAAAACCCAAAGGGAAAACTCAATGGACCAATAGGGCTTTTTCTGCCTACTTAGTTTTCTATGTTTCTATAATTGCAGCAAGATTAATCTATGCACAAAGATGGAAAGACTGGGCAATACCTATAACAGGAATGGTTAGTGAAGATAATGGAAATTGCCGAGATGGCCAAATTGTCTTCTTTGATGAGAGAAAAGAAATATCTACATTTATTGCTGACAGGAAATCCCTTATGGACTTTTTGTGGAAAACAGAAAAAAATGAACGTATGATTTATAGTTTTAATCACTAGGCAGGATAGATTAAAATAGAGAGAGGTCATAACTTTAGGTAAAAAGGTAAATTTATAATTATGTTTATAACTGCTGCAAAGATGATTAGAAATCACTTCTTTGCATCTTCTTTTTCTTTTCTATTTTTCTTGTATTTTTTCTTTTCTTGCACTTCTAATTTTCTCTTTGGTTTCTTTTTTCTTTATTATTAGCTTGTATTAGCTTCTATCTTTTAAAAAAACTTTAAATAAAATTATAAAAGAGAAAAATTTATCCAATCTGTGCATAGTTTCCATAAATTTTATTTAGTCATTGTGCCTACAGTATTGTCTATGGCAGCAGTGGACAATTTTCCCAAGGGCCACATAAAAAACTGGGTCTGTTGTGGAGGGCTGCCACTATCCTGCCCCCCATACTACCGCCACCCTGCCCCCCTCAACACTGTGGTCCAGAAAGAGGCAGCCCGTGTGTCAAATGTGGCCTGTAGGCCTTAAAATGCCCAAATGTTTACAAGATTGCTTTGCAGATAGTCCAAGCATGACTGTGCATCTTCAATCATGACATATGTTTGCCAAAGACTCCTGAGAACCTTGTACAGAGGTTGCTAGTAAAGACAGCAGTCATTGCATTTTCTTTGATATTTCTGATGCTATGTTTAGGATTTGGTACAATCACTGCAGAAGTCTTAACACATAATTTAATGCAAAATAATAAAATCAATTCACTGTGATTTTTATCATCACTGTCTTGTAACTGTTAATTACACATATTCAGGTTCTCTGTATAATTCAGATTTAGCACTTCTGCACTGTGAAAATCAGTAGTAGTTTCACATGTAATTTTATTTACTGATTTTTTTCAAATCTCTTTTTCAGATTTGATGAAAGCAGCAATCGGATTGTATATCATATTTCATATGTTATAGATTATTCTGACTACCTTCTCTGCAGTCATAGATAAAAGGGTAGAAGCACTATGTTTTCTTCCCACTGGTGATACAAACTTACACCTTCTACTTATAGAACTATCATTTCCTATGCTATGCATTATGAAAACTGGCATAATCTGTGTGCACTTGGGAATGCCTTGTTCATGTCCTGGCCCTTTCTTTGCCTGCTTGTCAAAACTTTATCAGTTTTGAAACCCATCTATTAAATATATATGAATGCAGTTCCTGTAGAAAGCCAAGATGGAATGTTATGTGGCGCCAAAACCTTTTAATGTAAGTTAAACTCATATAGTGAGTTTGTATATATTCCAGTGTGCCAAGATTGTAGGATATAAGGCAAATACATGGAAGAAAGCTGCAAGTTCAGTTTCTGGATTGGGACCACAAAGTTTTTGACTTGAACAGCATATATTTGGGAGTGCAAGAATATCCAGATCCCAAGATTCATTTTTTTCAATAAACTAAAAAAAAAAAGTCTCAAAAACACTTTTATGAAAGGTAAATAAAGAATATCTCCAATAGTTTCTGCCTACTTAGTTGTTCTGGCAGAATGGATGTGTCCAGGTCCCATCAATTAAATATTGCCATCTTGTGGGACCTAGGAAATGTGTATTCCCACATTTGAGAACAGTATCCTTCCAGAGATAAGGACAGTGTCTTCTCTCCTTAAATCCTGGTTTTGTTTCAAGTTTAATGTTTGTTATTTTAATGGCCGCTGTCTTGTTTTGTGGGTTTTGTTAGCAGAGTATTTTAGTCTAGGCTACCTGTTGATTTAATGTTTCTTGCTATTTGTATGTTTTTTAGTTTTTCACACTGCCAAGACTCAGTAGAGTTGAAGGCCAACAAATTTAAATAAATAAATAGTGCCTTGAGACGGCACTATTCAAAATTAGGATTGCTTTTAAGCAAAACACATTTTTAATTAGCATGTCAGTACTTTACCTGCACTGCACTCTTCCCTAGAGCATTTTGGATTTCCCTTAGAGTCTGATACTGTTCCAGCAAGTGATCACCACATATTATGTCAACCTGAAATGAACAGAAAGAAATTATCAAATAATTTAGTACTTAGTAAAAGTTGTGTTCAAAGTAAAAATGTATGCCCAATTAACAAGAACATAGCCTGCTAAAACTATTATAAAGTTAATAGTTTCCGAGAAACTACACACCACCTGTTACAAGTCAGTTATTTTTAACTGATTTACTAACAACAGTGGCAAATACTGTACTTTCTATATTTCCCCCCTTTTAAACTTTACCCTTGTTTCACATACTTGTTAGTGTATGGGCAGAGAAGTTTCTTAAAAACCTCCACTTTCGGGCTAATATTCTTTCAGATCAGATGTTGCTAAATTTGTTAAAGATGAGCAGCTGTTCTCAGTTTAAACATAATTTAAAATTAACAATGGATCAATCCTGCAACCCAGTTCTCTGTGGAATACTGTTTCTTTCCACTCAGCTCATCATCTAGCATTAACAAAACCCAGAGGCATTATTTATTCACATGTAACTATTGCATGGCATTGCTTAATTCATCCAAGCCATTAAAAAAGAATAATGTTCAATGATGCAACTGAAACAAAAGCATGATCATTTGTTCATGATCATACTGTTTGCTACCACAAAGCTCTTATGATATCTGCAATTTATTTAATAGATTAGTGGAATTAAACTTCCTAGTGATAGATCTGAATTGTAGATGTATTTTCAATTGCTCTGAGATTACTGTGAGCTACAGAAATTTTTCACTTTAAGTTTTATGACACATTTCCAATGCACAGAGGGAGTTAAAGGTAATGGACTATTTGCCCTAATACTCACTTTATATTCCTCTACTATTTTACACTTGATATGTTATATTCCTCCACACTTTATAGTCTTCTATCAGACACTGTTCAGAACTCTGTTGAGAACTGCTCTGTTCAGAACTGCAAAATAGCAACAGCCGAATTGTTTCTACATTGATTGATTTATTTTACTGATATTTTCACCATTAAATCCTTGACAAAAATATTCGTAGAATACACTTTAAAAATAACCAAAGCAACTCTAAATTACTTTCTGGGCAATTCTAAAAACAGGAGATTGATTACAATAAATATAGTTTTACTGAATATCAGTCTTATCTATATCTGTGTGCCTTCCAGATGTATATATTTTAGATCCCAGAATTCCCCCAAAAGCACAGCTATTGCTGAAAATTTTGGAAAATGACATCAAAATCTGGAGGATGTCAAGGCTGGGAGAAGCTAATCTAAATATTCTCAGAACTATGTGATTTCTCTAAAAATCAAACTGTTTCTTTCAAACCATTCAATAAAATAAAACAAAAATACTGACACTATAATGGAAAACCAGAATAAGAAAACATCACTTTAATAATAGAGGTAGTCCTTGACTTAAGACCATTTATTCAGCAACCATTCAAAGTTATGAACAAAGTGCTGAATGAAGGGGCTTACGTACGCAAAGTTAAGAGCATTACAGGACTGCTGGGAGAATGTGATTGGCAACCCATTCATACTTACGGCTGATTGCCAAGCACCCTGCAATCATGTGATCACCATGTGCAATCTTCTTTGCCAGCTTCCCCAGAAAGTCAATGGGGAAGCCATCAGGGAAGGTCATAAGTTGATGCTGCCTGCTGAGATGACTCTTTGGGATTTGGCTGAAAAAGTTCTCTGCCAAAATCAAAGATAACACAGCATTACAAAGGCAGTGCAGCCTTCTGAATGTTTAGGGAACCATGTGTATTTTAGGAAACATTTCCAGGGGCCTTCCTTTCCAGAAGCTGGGTCTGAAAAGGAGAAAGCCAAAGGCAAAGATTGCTGTGGAGAGCTGGAAAAGAAGGCAGCAAGGTGAATGGATGCTGGCTGGCTTCCTTGCTGGACCAAGCAGCAAACAAATACTTGGTGGCTTGCTTACTGGGATAGGCTAGAGAGTGAATGGATTTTGCTAGCATTTGCTGGGGGAGGCTGAGGTTCCTAGGGCGTACAAATAACCTCAAAGCTACCTGGTTCTGTGGCTGCTTGTTATCCTGCAAGATAGGTGCAAGGTGGCCAAAAGTCATAGATAAGGGTAGAAATAGGCAGGGTGGAGGGAGTTGGAGGTAGTTCCTTACCTTATTGAGGCTTGGGGCAGGGAAGGACCAAGCCAAGAAGGCTTAGATTGGGATGGGCACTCGCTTAACGACGATCAATTCTCAGTTAACAACCGCAATGGGGAGTATGGTGATTGTTGTCATAAATTGATGTAATCACATGACATTTCTCTTTACATAAGCACTGGCTTATGATAGCAATCCCTGTCCTAATTTTGGCATAAGTCGAGGATTACTTGTATGTAACTGAAATGAACATAATCTGTTTGCCAGTCTAGAAAAGATGATGTTTGGCTGTATAACCATCTGCAATCATTAAAAGACAGATTATGATAAAGTGGAAGATGTAAAATTATCAATCCTCCCAAGTAAACCATGATTAGATGAGCTAATTCTACTTTGCTGTCATGCTACATTAACAAAAATTTGCAAGTCTGAAAATACAAACCTCCTGCATCATTTTTAACAGTCTAATACATTAGGATAGATCCTTAAATGTTTCCTTCTTTGCCCATTAGGCAGATGCAGCTTTTTATCTCTCTTTTCTTTGATCATTCCCTAAGCATCTTTCCCGCACACCCCTCAAAGTCATCCTCACCTACCATTACAAAAATGAATCTCAGTTAATTTTTTTGCTATTATATTAACAATACATACTAAGGATCAGTGGTGAAATCTAAAATTTGTTACTACCAGTTCTGTGGGTGTGGCATGGTGGTGGGGTAATGTGACTGCGTGGGCGTGGCCAATTTTGGTTTTTTTACTTTTAAAACCATTTTTTCTACAACCTCTTCAGTGAAGAGGTTGTAAAAAAAAATGCTTTCAAAAGGCTCTGACGATCCCAGCTGAGTTGCCTGATTGTCAAAGGGTTTTTTAATCAGGCAACTCAGCTGGGATCGTCAGAGGCATTTTTCTTTTAAATGGCTCTGACGATCCCAGTTGAGTTGCCTGATTGCCGATTCAAAATCAGGCTCTCAGTTTAACTGAGTACTTCTTTTAACTGCCTGAATTTTTCATTTCTGTTATTTTGGTCTTTCCTACCTACATAATGCTTTCAGAGAAAAGTATTACATTAAAATCTGTGGGAACCTCATTCATCTGATAACTGTTATACACATGTTGTAGACAAGCAAAAAAAGGTAAAATTATATGAATTATTACAGTGTACCTGACAGCCAGGATCAAGATCCATCTTTCTTCTGAGGAATTTTTCCACATGTCCAATTGTTGCCTCTCCAGAAACACGTACAAACTTCTTTTCCAGTGGCTATAAGAACAAAGAACAGGTTAATTTACAGTTAAATTGTAATATATAGGATCTTTTGCAAATAGTTAATCTCATGTTTATTTTAAAACCTGAAAATAGCCACAGAGGATGAAATCAATAATTTTTCACTGTTCATTCTTGAGACTTTGATAAGACAATCATTTGCTGTCTAGGTAAGCAGACTGCATTGTAATACATAGCTCAGGTGCTATGTTGCCCTTTTAGCAAACAATTGAAATTGATTTGAGGCTCCAGACATGGAAAATGAGCTCCAGCCTCCTGAGATATTTCTACTGCCCCAACAAATAATCAAAGCCCTTCACTTGGAGAAAAATATTGATGGTAGAAGACATACTACTGCAAAGGACAGAAGATGTACACAAGACAAGTTATTAAGAGTAGCATACTGTCTAATCCTGTGAAAAAGAAGGGTTGAAAGATGACCAATGCTCATGAAATCAACTGATCATTAGCCATAATTTCTGAACTCAAGGGGATAAATGATATAGTCAAGAAAAGGTAGAGGATTAAAAGCAAATACAAATCTATAAATGAAAATGTGAAAGGGCTGGTGGTATTTTCATCTATCCTCTCTGTGGGGGTTGAGGAACTACAGTATAAAGAAAAGCAGTAAACTGGAAGAAAGATTTGGATTTATGGACCATGACATATACCACTAGTATAATAAGCCTTTAGGCAGATATATGCTGCATCCAAAGGCAGGAAAGAATGTAGTTGCTAACATGTCAGCAAGGATTTAAACTAAACCAAAAGAGAAGAAAGTTAGGTAGAGATTCAGCTAGAAAAGTGCTACGGGTAGACCTTAAGCATATCATAACAGAGGTATAATGCAGTAAATGTTGTCTGGAAATCATCAATACATGGTAGTAGGGAGAAAACTGGGATCTTTCAGTGTTTGTACATATATTTATGGAGTATATAGGCAGCTATGTTCTACAAATTCGTTCTTCAAATAAAAGGTTGCAAACATAATGCCACATTTATTTTAATACAGCAAGAATGTTTGGTAATATTGATACCTTAAAATTCCCGGAGAGATCATTTGCTCTGAAAGAAAGAGAAACGAGCATAATCAGTGTGCATGGGATATACATACATTGGCATGCTCAACTTACAGGCATAAATCAAAGCCCATGCTCCCTCCTGCATTTATTTTGTGGTTCCCAAAAAAAACCCTTTAATTTTTGGTTTTTGAGGGGCCAAAAGGAAGAGAGAGGAAGACAGCATTCTCTTCCCTTGCCCCAGCCCTGTGGAATAAGGAGGTGAGAGAGGCCCCCGCAAAGGAGTTAAAATATAGTCTTGCATGGGGAGCTGCAGTCGTTGGGTTGGTTAGTGCCCCAAAAGCCCTCCCTCAGCTTTTAAACTAATTTCTAAACATGTACAATCCCAAAGGGTAAAGAAGATTGAATTACTATAACATTATTTTTAAAATACACTTTTAATAAACCAACATTTGAATATTACCAATTATTATTATTATTATTTTTTGGATTTATATGCCGCCCTCTCTCCAGAGGACTCAGGGCGGTTCACATCAAATGAAACAATTCCAATAAATACAATTTAAAACATACTAAAAACATACTAAAAACCAATTTAAAACAGTAGACCCCATCAGTCCTGGCCAGGGCGTTTAAACAGCCAGGTCTTAAGCTCACGGCGGAAGGTACGAAGGATGGGGGCCAGCTGAAGACCCACGGGAAGGTGATTCCAAAGGGTGGGCACGGCCACAGAGAAGGCTCTACCCCTGGGGGTCGCCAGCTGACATTGTCTAGCCGATGGCACCCTGAGTAGGCCCTCTCTGTGGGAACGCACTGGGCGATGGGAAGTCGATGCTGGTTGCAAGGCCTAAGCCATGAAGGGCTTCATAGGTTAACACCAGCACCTTGAATCTCACCCGGAGGGCAACTGGCAACCAATGCAAGTCACGCAGGAGAGGTGTAACATGGGAGTATTGGGATCCTCCCATTACAACCCGCGCGGCCGCATTCTGCACCAGCTGAAGCCTCCGAGTGGTCTTTAAGGGAAGCCCCAGGTATGATACATTCAAGCGTATTTGTCATGAAATACTGCATGAATCGATGTGAATATTACTTGGATATTATTGCCACCTAGTGGATAAATTGAAGAGAGTATTTTTAAATTTCTTTCCTTCAAATTATTGAGATTCTGAACCACTTCACATGATTGATTTGTATTTTTCATTACAATAAGACATTGATGCACAAGGCATAAGTACCTTAAAAATACAAAGGCTGCTTGTCAACTAGTTGTAATGTGAAATCTGCTGCCAAGCTCAATTCAGTTTTAGTTACTTTGGAAATGAGCTTGCTCAAGTGTCATATTCTTCTTTTATCATGCTTTCAATTTTGAATCAAAGATGTATTTTCCTGAATGGATCTAACTAACAATTAGCTTTAATTACTGGAACAAGACTATGGCAGATGTTATAATTTTGTTTGTTTAAACTAACCTTCAGGATCTGAAATCTGTGGGATTTGAGCTCTATTTCTGCACCCCATAGGAGGAGTTCGGCTCCCTTCCATGTGTGGAAGGAAACTGCTCGGGCAGGCTGCATGAATGGAGCTCAGATTTTCAGGATCTGAGCTGTTTCTCTTCTCTGCCAAAGGAGTTCAGCTCCCCTCAGCAAGCACCTCTTTTAGTAAGCCCCAGAGAAGAGAGGAAGACCTCTTGGCAGGCAACAGTAGTTTGTAGTCTTTCCTGCCAGCTACCTGTATGCACACCATATGCATGATTTATAGATTAATGCATTGGACGAACATCTGCACAAAGTATAGCACTACTCAGCAAATCATAAAGCTAAATCAAAGCATAGTGAAAATAACACTACTTTCTATATCAGAAAGTTGTATTCTTCAGACACTGCTATCAGCATACGTTGAAAATTGAGCATATTGATGTAGAGTTGCAGACCTTAATTTATTCCACTATCCCTTGATCTTTTCACTGCATTAAAATCTAATAATGCAACTTAAAATTGTGGTAATATAATAGGCCAATGTAGGTGATCATTCCTAATCACAAAAAGTGATAAAATATGCGCAGTAATCTCGTAATTGAAGCTCTGTACTTTTACATTCACACTGAGACATCACACTTAAATATATAAGAGGAGCAGAGTTGACATCATAATGCACATTTCACCACCTGCCAACTTGCATGCTACTACCATATTTATTCATATTTCTGTCAATACCAAGACTTAAATATGATCTAATAGGCAATAATTTATTGTCTATGTTCATATATAAAACACTGATTCTCAGAAATTCAATTTTAACTTACCCAATAAATTCCAGAAGAAGTGACATGTCAAGTTCTGGAGGAATACGGAATACAGATCCTACAACCTTGCGGGACCTCCCCCTGCTCGCTGCCATTGGCTGGGGTACAGCTAAAATATAAAAGATTAATCAGGCTAGGAACAGAGAATAAAATGAATACACTCACGCTTCTTTCCCTGTAATACTTGTGGATTACTCTTCTTTCAACCCTTTCTTTTTTCAATCCATGGTGTCCTTTCTCTGAGCTACCCATTGCCTCTGTCTCACTGGTGATGATTTAACAATCTTTGCACCACTGCCCCAGAAAACAATTACTTGGAGAATCAGTGCATTTCTTTTCTGGATGTATTTTAGTGGAAGTTGGATAACTTTCAATCAGAAATGCTTTGATTTGGAGTCTTATGCTGAATAGGGGATTGGACTTTTAGGGCCTAAATGTCCCTTTCCAACCCCATGATTTCTCAGCTTTCTCTTATTTCTCTTACACCATAGAGAATTCTCTCTCTTGGAAGTATTATCAATTGTGAAACCTCTTTCTGAGTAAATATTTTTCTTCTTTCCTTTATGTCCCATAGTTTTATGTTCTTTCTTCCCTTTATGTGTTCCATTGTAACAATATACAAGACTTTCACACATGTAAGAGTTTGTACTAATTAGGTTTCAGACCAGAGAAGCTAAGAATGGCCAAGAGTGGGGAAAAAAGAATCCAAAAAGAGCAGTAATGAAGAGACAGTGACAAAGATATGCCTCCACAAATCTATTCATTTGTGTCCTAGAGGTCTAAAAACAATATAACACAAGAACTGTCTTCCAAATTAGAATATTGTCAAATTTGGCTAGGTTTTTGGTGTCTCTTATATAAAATCTTATTAAAACAAAAGATACATCTCCAAAATCTCTGACATACATCTAGATGATTACAGGCACTGAAAAGTAATAGCTACTAATATAACATGCTGAAACTTGTGATTTTCTATATACAGTTATTCTCCCATTGCTATTTTTGATAGCTTTATGTAAACATTGCTATGTTTCTAACCTTCATATTTATCTCAAAGATACAGGAAAAGTAAGAAATGATGTTGAATTTCTGAGAGAGCCACAGGCAGCAGCAACAAAATACAATTCCATAAATCTGATGTAATGTTCTCATCAATCACAAATTGGACAGCAAGAACTGACTGAAGACAATAATCAACAATCTTAGTGTAGTTTGACACATGAACAAAACTACTCACTAAAATATCATCTTTAAAATGTTCAGGACAAAAACCACTTTCATTAAATATTCCTAAATTTAGTAGTACTTTCATAAGAAAACATTAATGTTGTTTAAGGTTAACAATATTTTTGTGTTAGAATGTTATTTTTTTCAGCTATGAATTTTTTTGAAAACTTAACTATTATAAAAATATAATTTTTCCAGTCACTTTTTTTAAACCAAAGCAACTATAATGTCAGAAAAGAAATACATGTTGGTCTTAGTCTGTAGAAAATAAGGTTAAATACATAGCTACATATCTCTTGGCATGAGGCATAATAAAAAGTATTTACCAGTAATTTAAATTTTAATAAATTCACTTTCTTTTCAGCAATAGTATACTCACATTTAAAAAACTTACCAAGTTTGGGTATTTCTAAACCTCTTTCCCTGTAGAAATCATGCATTCTTTTTTTTTCTCCTAAATGTATAAATACAAAAGGGCTGGTTATCCTCAACCTAAACAATATGGATCTAGTTGATATGGAGTAAGCAGACAAAAACAGACAAAACAGATAAAGAAAATCATCTAAAGTCTCCATTTTTTGTCATTTTATTAAAGAAACATAACAAACGATAAAATGCTGCACAGACCTGGGCAGAAAGACTAAGAAAATGAAAATAAGAAAATAAAAACTTGGGAAGGTATCGTCATATGCACATATGTGATTTTTTAAAAAAAGGGCTCAGTATTTTAAATACATATTATTTCTAGATTAATGCATGTACAGGTGAAAGTAATCTATAAGGAAAAAAGATTATGAAAATAGGAAACCTGCTGGTATAGGTAATAAATGGCTATCATATTTTAATAGTTTGTCTTTCACACAGTCTTTTAAAGGTCTTCGTTGTTAATTTTTCAGAACAATTTCTGACATGGTTCATCCAATGAGAGGAGTGTTTTAATTTTCCAATATTTTGTAATAAAAACCTGAGAGATAATAAAAGGAACTGCATTATTTTTACATTGCAATAACTTATATCCATTAGAAAATATGGCCAATAAATTAATAGTAATATATTGTGAAAGACCGTGAGACATTTTGTTTTTTCAAAAATACTTGACTAAAATATTATCTAACTGGGCACTGTCACCCCGATGACTTGTATAAATCTGCTAAAATTTCACCAATACAATCTAGAAATGCTACAATTAACAGAATGTAATTTCAGTGCAGAATAGTTTTTCCTAGGAGTTATCTTGATGTTAATTATTTATGATTAACATCAAGAAAGGATGGAAGGTTGACTCAGCCTTCCATCCTTTCGAGGAAGGTAAAATGAGGACCTGGTTTATGGGGGCAATAAGCTGACTTTGTATAAAAAAGAACACCGCTTAGGGCCCCCCGAAAGCCCTACTAAGCAGGTATATACAAAAGTATGAAGGCTATTGCTTAACGCATTGTAAGCCGCCCTGAGTCTCCGGAAAAGGGCGGCATATAAATTGAACCAATAATAAATAAATGATTTGCTACAATATAATAATTCTATATTACAAAGAGATTCAGAAAGATTCAATTTCAAATCCTAGATCTTGCTGCTAGAGTTTAAGATTCTGAAGATAATCTGTCAATCTTTTATTTCATTACCGTATTTTTCAGAGTATAAGGCGCACTTTTTTCCCTCCTAAAAGAGGCTGAAAATTTGGGTGCGTCTTATATTCCAAATGTAGCTTTTTCAAAGCTTTTTTCCAGCCCTAAGGAGGCGCTAGTGAGTGAAGCGATCTCCGCTTCCCTACTTTGCCTGCTCCCTCCGACTCTCAGCTGTGAAGCTTTCTTTCGGCCCTAAGGAGGTGCTAGCAAGTGAAGCGATCTCCGTGGTTTGCCTGCTTTTCTCATTGCTTCTCTCTCCAAAGATCAGTTGTGCTTTAGAAGCTGTTTTTTTATCCCCAAGCAGGGGCTAAAAACCAGCAAACTAATGTGCTGAAGCTGACCAGACTAAGGATGCTAGCCAGATGAATACCTGGTAAACAGATTTTTTTCCCTATTTTCCTCCCCAAAAACTAAGCTGCGTTTTATACTCCTGTGCGACTTATACTCAAAAAAATACGGTACTTTAGTTCTACAGCTGTTACAAATTTAACTGACAGAAATAGTACATTTTATTATTTAAATAAGAGGATATAGTACCAAAATAATATAAAGCACTGAATTCTTGATTGTCAATCTTAAAAAGATTTGTGAATACCCCATGCTAAAAAAAGAGCTCAGCAATCATTCTACGAATATGCCTAGCCTGGTAATCCTTGTTTAGCAACTACAATTAAGACCAACAACTTGGTTGCTAAGCAAAACTTGGTTGCTAAGCTTCTCTTTTACTTTATAGACTTGTAAAGGTCATAAATATGAGGACTGGTCACAAAGTTATTTTTTCCATCACTATTGTAACTGTGAACAATTGCTAAACAAGATAGTCACTAAATGAAGACTTTTAAGAAGATGAACATGTGTGGAAAGGGCAGGGATGATGAACTTTCTGAAGGAAATGAACCATCCCTTCTATCATTTTCCAAGATTTCACACTTTTTTTCATAAATCTTATAACTAAGAATCTTTAACTTGCAATATTCAAAATTATATCACGGAGCATGTGGTTCTTCAGTGAACTATCAAAAGAAAACAAGCATGTTAAATTCGAAAATCTAAAAAAGGGGACTGACTGATATGGCAACATAAGATATATACAAGCAAAGTAAGTTACATTCAGTTAGGTGTATCTTTCAGTTTTACCAAGATTCAGAGGTAAAAACTTACTTTCTTCCAAGTTGACAACTAATTTATATACTATGTCTTGCAATTGTCGATCCAGTCTATAAAAAGAAAATAAAAAGTAATTTTTAAATGTAACTATTTTTTTTATTACAGTGACATATTGAAAAATAGGCACTAACACAAAATTATTAAACTATAACAGATATTATAAGATTGGCTGAAAAATAGCTATCAAAACTGCAAAATTTCCATGTCAAAATTACAAAAGCAACTTTATTAGCATTTTTAAAATAACACATTAACATTTCAACATAATAATAAGCCCTAGAAACGGATTGGAAAAATATCAAGTACAAGACAGTGAAGTGTGGTCTGTGGATTAGTTTCATTGTTTTAATAATAAAGTTAATGGTTTTGAACACATTGCTAGAGTTTCAGAAGACTTAAACATATTCTCCCTTATCAGGCTACTTGAAATAATTCTTAGCTCCAATAGTTAATGTCAGGACTAAAACTAGCATAAGAATATTAGCTAAACTGTTCATTTATACACAAAATAAATATAGAGTATACCATAATAGGTAAATTACCTGATATTATAAAGCGGCTGTGTCTGATGTACTACAATGTTGCATTTTGGACATCTGTTACTGTAGTAAAAATGTCTTACTATGCAGCTTTTACAAACTGTAAAAAAAAGTAATTACATGACTGTTACATAATGATCCATTATTATTGAAAGCAGTAACGTCCAGAATCTACAGAGATATGAGAGTATTCAAAGTTATAATGGACTTCAAAAAAGCTACTTACAACCCATCCTCAAGGTTATGACTGCCTCTCCCTACAATCAATCAATCAATCAATCAACCAATCAATCAGAATAGAGCTAGGCTCGGATCGTGGAAGTCTTCTAGTTCAGCCCCATGCTCAAGCAGGAGACCCTATAACATTTCAGACAAGTGACTGTCCAGTCTCTTCTTAAAAACATGAAGTTATTTCACTTAATGTGATTGCATTTTCAGTGCTTGGCAAACAGCTCACATTTACTTAGGGTGAACTAAGTATACCTGTAATTCAGGATACCACAGTTCAGTTCACACTATTTCAGTTTTTTTAAAAATTCAGACAGCAGGCTATTTGCAGTAGGAAAGCTCTGAGATGAAGCAGTTGGTCTTCTTCTGCTTGGTACACAAAGCAATACCTACAATGCTTTAGGCTGTAGCATCAACCAATTATTTTCAGAAATATTTGTTTTACACTTTTATAGCTTTTAACGTTGTAAACTGCCCAGAGTTGCAATGGCTAGCAAACAAATGTAATCATAATTCCAATACTTACATGTGTGAAGACATTCTGTGATGGTTGTGGCATCTATGAAATACCCCTTGCAGATGGAACACATGATATACGGTACCAGTTCAGAAAGATTAATCATGCGCTGAAATTTCAAAAAAGTACGTCAAGAGTATTGTTTAAAAGTTTGCTCATAGCATTACAGTTTTTATATTTAAAATAAGTACTTGAGAACATATTTTTTTTCATAAACTATTTGCAAACAATAATGGCCATATTATGTAGTTGAAAGCAAGTTTTATCTCTGCGAGCCTTCCAAGGTTCCTACAGAGAGTTGTGTGTTTCCAAAGCAAATCTGGAAGGCCACATTAAAAAGAGGATTCCTGGGAAACAAGCATGTATCTTCTCACATCATGTTTGATATTAACCTCTTTAACTGCCTCAGCAACTGAGCAGTGCAAGACTAGGCATTACTTCTGAAGGAAAGAAGAGACTAATGTAATATAAGCAACATGTTCCAAGGCCAACTCTTGTTCCCAGAATGTGATGACAGATACTGTCTCTGGTGTGAAAAGCAGCAGTACTTTTGCACAAGACATATCGGATAAATCCATCCTATATTCATCCACGACAGGATAAGTACAGGAAACTACACAACAGGACTTTAAAAAGTTTGTCTCACAAGTTCTTTCCTTCTCTTTCTGAACCATGACAAGTTTTACAAACTAGGACAATGTTTTGTTATCACTTTTGGATCATTTCTCTGTAAGAGCACTTAAAAGAAACTAGCAAGACCGATAGAACTGTTTTAACCAGGGAACACAAGAAATGCCACATTGTGACAAAATACAAAAAAAAAAAAAGGAATGAATTTGCACAGAAAGCAATGCGAGTACTTCTATCTCAAGAAAATAAAAATGGCTCAACAATAATCTTATCAGTAAAGTTGCTCTCTAGGGTAACTTGCCTAAGGACCTCCGCAACTGTGCTTTACCGAGCTACCCCTCCTCGCGTCCCTTTAACCCCGCTGCCGAGGAAAGAGTGGCAGGCCCGTGTTACCTCGTCCTCCTCGTCGCAATCCATTTCGCCCTCCTCGGTGCCAAATCCTCCGAAGAGAGCTGCGGCTCCCCCTCCTGCAGTCCCTTCCTCCATCACCTCTTCCTCATCCTCCATCTCTTCGTTGCCTCCGCAGCTGGACCCAGAGCGGCTTCCCTGTTCGTAACGAGCACCTGCCCCGGAGCAGCCAGGCGTTTCCAGCGTGGTGGCTGCTGCCGCTACTTTCCCCTCCACTTCCTCGGCCGGTCCCCCCGCCGCTTCAGCCACGGACCCTTCGCTTAGCAGAGTCAACGCCATATCCCCGACCAAAAACGAGCTTCTTCCCTGCCTCCACACAAGGAAACACAGTTTTCCAACAGTGGCGGAGTATTGCTGTGCTACCTGGTCGCCTCCTTCACCCCCCCCGCCCCTCTCGCTAATTTGCGCGAGGGGTCTGCCCAGTCCCTCCAAGCAGAAGTTAAAAAAAAAAAAAAAGTGGGAGGGGGGGGTTTCTACCAATTTTAGCGCGTGCGCACGGCTAATTTGGCGCGCACATCTCCAGAACACCTGCATAATTTACATACTCGCGCTGTGTTCTGGGAAACTGAGTTAAATTTTGTTCCTCTTTTTGCAGACGAGAAAAGCGAGGGTTTTTATCCGCGTGATACGACGGTTCCTAAAGACCGGAACTAACTTTAATTTTCAATATTAAGTTAACATGTAAAAATAGGCACACACGAAGTTGTGTCAAAACGTCAGTGAGGCAGGGACTGCAATAAAATATCAGATCGTTTACATTCATACTTGTGCTATTCTGTTGCATTGTAATGCTAATTAAATATAAACTATTAAAATAACGCTGGTTTTTGCTGCTTCTGTTGATCTGTCTTTAGACAATCGTTCCAATCGAGCTTGACTTCCATGCACAAAAATTATTTGTCATTGGAAAAAATGTTCTCCAAGTCCCAAGTTACATCTGGGGCAGCAAAATATATAGGTAGGATTTAGTTCTAGGAGTAGGTTACTGAAGTCTAAGGATCTTTCAGTACTATAATGGCGGGGGGAGGGGAGGAGAAGCTGAGCCCTGCTCTGCCCTACCTATAATATAGGTGTAATTTGTTTAAATGTAAAGAAAAAAAACTATTAAACGTTTTTGTTTAAATTAAATTTGTTTAAATGTAAATTTAAAGAAAAAGTAAAATTACTTTAAAAGTAAATTTAAAGTAACATATTTAATAGTTTTGTCTTCATTTAATGGATTTTCCTTTTAAAAGTATATTTAATAGCTTTAAACAAGTTGGTGAGAGCTTTTGAAGATCTTTTGGACTCGTATTTAAGGTTATCAGGGATTGCTGCTTATCTGCTATAGGTAAACTTGCATGCACTATAGGTTTATATCTGACTCTGAAAAGTAAAGGATTGTTTTTATCATTACCGTTAGACATTTAATAATAAAAGCTATGTGCTCAATAAATAGAGAAGGGAATAAATTAGACACTTCAGAATCCGGGTAACTCATATTTTATGCAATGTAATATAAGTTACTATACATATTAACTTTTTCTACTTAGCTGTAGTATTAAATATTACTATTTTCGTATTATGGAGAAATGAGTTTTCCCGAGATTTGACATACTAAACAATACACCCAAGGTAATATACTTTCTAGTGTGTAAAGATGCAATGATAATTAACCGGAGTTGCTTCTATATAAGCTGTAGGCAAGTCTTCATTTAAAAAAAAAATTAAAAGAGAAACTGCACATTTCAGAAGATGCGATTCTCCTAACCACACACGCGCAAGCTTCTGCAGGACCTTTTATAAGTGAAATGATCTTGATCAGTGAAATGTCCTCTTTCCTTTGATTTCCATAAAGCGGAACTGTCGTAAAGCAAAGGGAAGCCTCTTCCTGGAGCCTCTCAAGTTGTCGCTGGGCGGGTATGCCCGGACTGTCGCAAAAACGCGGGAAAGCAAAAGGGGAGGTGAAGCCGTTGGGCGCGCCAACATGGCTGCTTTGCCGGAGGAGCCGACGGAGGCAGTAGCGGTAAAGCCGGATCCTGATGCAGGAGCGCCGCCGCCCGCTCCGCCAGCTCCTCTCTCCCAGTCCCCGATCTCGACGGCGGCAGCAGTTGCAACAACTGTCCCTCCTGCGTCTGCCTCTTCGGTCGCTGCCACCCTTCTCGCGGATGGAGAGCCGCTTGCGGGAGGAGTTGACTCGAAGAGCTCGGGGACTTCCAGCCCCACGCCGCCAGCCTCTCAACTACCCATCCACAAGCATACTCTGCTGGCGGTGCTGCAGTTCTTGCGCCGCAGCAATCTGCGCGAATCGGAGGAGATCCTCCGGAGGGAAGCCCGTGGTCTCGTCGACGACGTCCCAAGCGACCCGAATTCCTCAGCTCCCGGGGTCCCCGGAGCTCATGGAGGGGAAGGACAGGATCCCAGTGCCGGGATCTTGGCCCCTGGAGCGGGGGACGTGCTAATCAATTCTGTCACTTTTGGCCAGACTGGAGCTACCATCTCTCCAGCCGCTATCACGACACCTCCCGCAGCGCCCTTGGGCCATCCTGGGAAAGGTGAGATGTAAAACATTAATAGCAAGTGTTCATTGAGCCAGCTAATTACTTTTGCCCAGCTCTCCTGACAAATTGATGTACAACTTACAGTAGTTCATTTCGGAGAATATCAGTTCAAGCACTGCCCTCCTAAATTTACTGTGGTTATAATAATATAATCTATAAGTAAACACTGAGTGTTATGCGGGTTAATGATATTTTTGTTTGGAAGCGCTAGAACCTATGGTTCAATTGTTTATTCTTCTTAGTGAATCATGTTCCTCACTTTCCACTGTAAATTACATAGTTTTAAATATGCAGTTTAAAAGCATGGTGGAGTAACAAAACAGCTTCCCAGTGCTTCCAAATGAAAATATCATTAACACACATTACTGTGGTTTTAAATTGCATATTTAAAACTAAAAAAAAAAACCCTAATACTGGCTGGGAGATTTTTTGTTATATTTTTATAGTTAAATATTCAGAGATACGATATAAAGAACCAAAAAATAGTTGCAAATATGCAGATATCAGATATGCAAATAGAATAGAATAGAATAGAATTTTTTATTGGCCAAGTGTGATTGGACACACAAGGAATTTGTCTTGGTGCATATGCTCTCAGTCTACATAAAAGATATGTTCATCAAGAATCATAAGGCACAACACTTAATGATAGTCATAGGGTACAAATAAGCAATCAGGAAACAATATCAATATAAATTGTATAAATTTTGTATAAATTGTATAAATATAAATTTTGCCAGTGACAAAAACAGGCAAACAAAGCATTTTCTGAATATGGAACAGAATATATATTAGTCTTCTAAAGAGATTGTTCCAATAAAATATATATCAGTGTTCCATATTAAGGGTATACAAAGTCATCACTTGGATTGGAGACTTTAATCAAAACAATAACAAAAGTATCATTTCCTGTTTATGTGCAGTATCATGACACACCTAAAAATGGAGCGGAGTTTACACTTTAATAATTGCATTCCCCCATCATAGCCCTTTGTATATAATCCAGAAAGAAAAAGAAGTGGGAATTGGATTGCATAGTTGTGATCATTATCTTTACTTTTCGATCTCCTTCCTATGTATATTGCTCACTCTTATTTCCAGAAGCTAAGTATCAGAAATACAAACATTGGATCAGAAATTGTGTCCTGATCCAATTTTGTAGCTGGGTGTAATAAATTTAATCCTTTAAAAATCTGAGCTATGAGAACAAAATCTGCTTCTCATCCAGAGTAAATAACAAACATACAAGAATGCAACGTGTTATGGAGAGCAACCAAAACTTTTAAGGCAATCCCTTAAAATAGCTCTTGTACATACAATAACTTTGCTGCAGTTGCGATATATAAAATCAGTCTGGCATAAGTCTTTTCGAACTCATTGTCCATAAATTCCAAATAAAGAGAGTTCTGGTTTCTTCATAAATATTAATTTTTAAAATCTTATGAATTTGTATCCAAAATTTCTTAACTTCCTTAACTTTTTTCTTTCATTTTCTTTTTTTGTATGTTTAAATTTTTCTTTTGATTTTTTCCTTTTGATTTATCTTCTGTTGTATGAAAACATTTTAATAAATGTGAATTTTTAAAAGTGGGAGAGGTCTTAGAGAGAGAATGGGAGAGTTAGCTACATTCTAAGATGCTGCCAAATTGCCTCTCCCATACAAATGCATTAGGGAAAATTACATTTTCAAAAAATCATTTTATAGAGAGGCCAAATCCTGATATTCTTTACATATTTTTGAAACATTCTGTTGGATTGGAAAGAAGAAGAAAGCTCTTGCTGAAATGGAAGTTTAACAGCACTAAATTTCTTTCTTTGATCAACTCATGCTACAAATAGTTCTTAATCTGTTTTCCTTCATTCTCTATATTTGATTTTACTGTACTTAATTTGTAATTTGGGGGGGAATTTGTAAACAATCTGTAAACTTTGAAAGGGTGGAATTAATGGGAAATTGCTAATGCAGCAGTTCTTAATAAACATTTAGTTGATAAATTTGGGTCAAAACATTCTTGCTAGCCATTGGTTGAATGTTGCTAGTTAAAATCAAATTTCATAGTCAATATGTGCTGGATTTGAAATAAAATGGGAGATTTTGCTACAAGGAATTCAAAGGATTTAGGATTGAAATAATGAATTGCAAAAGAATGCAGACATTAATTTTCCTATATTAATTTTGTAGCTGGAGTTCTTGTAGAAGATCAGCCAGATGTGAGTGCAGTACTATCTGCTTATAATCAACAGGGAGACCCAGCACTTTATGAAGAATACTACAGTGGATTGAAACACTTCATTGAATGTGCTCTGGATTGTCATCGAGCTGAATTATCACAACTTTTTTATCCTCTGTTTGTACACATGTACTTGGAACTAGTCTACAATGGACATGAAAATGAAGCAAAATCGTTCTTTCAAAAGTAATAATTTTGTTCATTTAATATCCATGGATGTTTCACTAATTAGGCGCATAACTTCTTAATTGTTGTTACAGTAAAAAAGACATTTATTTTGAAGCATGGTAAACTGGGAATAGAAAGAATCTATAGCATTTACTTTGGGATGCATTAAGAGTAGAAAGAAAATACATTTTAAACATTTTGAAAATATAGAAAGCTTACCAGTTTTATCCCTCTTGGCAGAGAAAGGTTAACAGACATTCTTTTGAAAATGGTTGATCGGGGTTAGTAAATGGATATGATTTCTTTAGGGAATTTTGATGCATAAGAAAGAGATTCCCAGTTACTTGGTTACTTACTATCTATAAATTATTTCTTTTCAGGGAGTTTTGATTTCTTGCATCAGTGAATACATAAAATATGTTTTGCTTTGTTTGTGGATATGTATATGTCAAAAACATTTTATTCTGAGGTAAATTTTTACTACTGAAATGTTCTGGCCTGAACCATTGAATAATGTTA